AGGGCTTCGGTCATTTACTCCAAATATACTGACTGATACTGACTGAATTGACATTGCTCTGCGATCGAAATAGGTTGTGCGAGAAAGGAGTGAGAGAGGTAGATGCTTTGAAAGTCTGCCTTACTAGAAACTTATTCACGCGCAATTCACTGGTTTTTTTTCCCCACAATTTGAGGTACACAAAAGAAGTCGTCGCTTCTGTCGATCGTATTTTCGGGGTGCAGACACACAACGGGGGCACTGCAGGACCACTCAGGACCTGTCAGATAGCTGGTATGCTGATATTGACTTCAGTACTCCAAGGTAATCCCCAAACCTTACATACTGAACACTGGGCATGCACCTGAAGCTAGGACAGGGGGAGACTTTACTGGAAGCTGATGAGTCTAAATACAGTATTGAACTTACCGCCGGTGAAGGCACTGTCTGCCAGAACAAGCTGAAGCACTCTGTCGAAGTAGACCGCAGCTTTTTCCGGTCCCATGATTTTGGCCACGGCTTCTTTGCTGAGACGCATCTCATCGTCCTCGTTCTCTTGAAGGGCCTGAAAGGGAAGTTTTTCATGGCAATGTTTTACAGCAACTTCCTCTAGACGTGGATGCGCACGTTGCTCACCCAAAGAGGGAGTTGCAAAGACCACAGTCCTGCGCCATAACCATAGCTCGGCTCACATTTCGTAGCATATTGGCTTCTGATTGAGGATTTTTAAAGACAGCAAGGCACTTTGGACCAAAATAGAATAAGGGATCATTAACTAGGAATGTGCCCCAACTGCTGGGTGCCTCCTTGGTGCTGACTGGACAGGCCCGTCCCTTTCGTAGTTTGTATTGCTGTCATATCACATGGACCAAAACTAAGATCAGACTGTCTAATGAAATTCTTTAGGCGGGCTGAGTTAATCCAATAACTGCTGTTGTACACGAGGAGAGAGCGGTGTCAGGCCTATGCGTAGGCTTCACACCGAACCAGCCCCCTCTCTCCCTCCCCCCAACCCAATCCCATCACCAACTGGTTCGCGGGTTCGGACAGTCGAAAAGTGAGAGCGGGGTCAATTCTGCAGAGTTTAGCTTCGGGGCAGATCAGAAAATTTACCATTACAAAAAACCTGAGTTTCTTTCTCGCAGCGAACGAGTTGAATTCTCAATTCTGAATTAATAATTATTCACCTTCAATTAACTGTGACGATCCCACTTGGATTTTAGGTGTATTTTAGTTGCATAATTTGTAACAAATGTGCTAATTCGCATTATTCATAGGTAATTTCCTTTACTGTCTATATCAGCTTTGAACTTAAAGTAATTTTAGTGAGGAGAACGGCTTTTATTGACCCAGTAGTGTACTAATAAAAGCAGTCTTATTTGCTTTGAACTCTGACCATCGGTCCCCACAGGCTAGTGGCAGCGAAGTGTTGCCAAGACAGCAAAAAGACACGAAAATGGCGATTTGTAGCCTGTTCCTGGTCATCCGACCCCAAGTAATTAAACTCAGATCGTAAATACAGAAGTTTCAACACAGCTTATCTTGCCATTAAGCCAAACACCCTATCATCTGGGTCCACGCCTGCCGGTTACCATCACGATTAGCCGTCGTTACGTCGTTGGAGGGGATAATAAAATTCCACTGAAGGACTTATCTCTTCCGGGAGAACTATGAGCAATGAAGTTTTCCTCGATTTGACCTGGAAGGCGACTGACCAACTTTTTATTAACGACAAAAACAAAGGAATAATTAGAGTTCCCTAAACGATTAACGTTTTGCAAGTATAATCAACACGGCCGACTCGGGATCTTTGACTGATAACTCGGTAAGTACAAAGTAAAGTGAATTTATCTGCACTCCTCGTTCATACTGTTACCGGGAGGAAAGGGATTTATGTACTGCTTGAACTGTTTTCTTGCAAAGTTCCTCTTTATTACGTTAAAACAAGCAGTTACCATGAGCACTATATTTGCCTTCTTATATATTTAAGAACATCATGGTTGAAGACTATTAGTAACAAAACCAAGGGGCACTGGAAGGGGCATTTCTGGCTTATTAGCCATCAACAGCCAGTCATACCCAACTCCAGGTAGTGAGCCATCCGACGTTCGAAACCGGGACGTGTTCAGCGGTCTAGCTCACTGTGCCATGGGCTCGCTGTGTCATTCGACAGTGACTCTCGCAAGCGATCAGTGAGCGTCTCTTCATCAATTCTATTATTTGCGATTGAAACCGACAAGACGACGAGCCCGTGACGCAGTTGGTTGGAGCTTTGGACCTCAAATCAACAGGTCACGGATTCGAGCTTTCAGTGGTGCACCACATAGAGTTGGGTATAGCTGGCTGATGATGGCTAGTGAACTAGAAATGGCCATTCCAATCTCATTTTTCTTTGTTCATAATGTTCTTCTACCCATAATACTTGCCGCAATGTGGCTGCTGACGGGGCTCTCTCGAGCCCCCCATGCAGAATGGGGTAAAGATAGCTTCTAAGCATAACTGTAGGACCACCCAACCCCAAAAACTTTAATACGCAAACGATAGTAGTTTAGAAAATAGTTTTTGGCATGTAGCGATAGCAAATAAGAATACCCATCTGGTCTACTGTGAATGTCTCTTTACAACTATAGAAAAAGAACTTAAGTAAAAATATCGACATAAGAGACCTGTGGATGCTTAGCTACGACGGAAATATAGTATTAGTAAAGAAGATTTCATTAGTTGTAGTGTTTGTTTATACTATGTATATACTAGGTCTACATGTGAAAGGAAAAGCTGCAATTTTAGGACCGGTCCCGTAAAACGTAACTCTGGGGTTTAGTGTAACTGTGGTGATACCTATAACCTATTCTTACCCGGAACGGAACGACGGAATCCGAAACCCATCGCTTTGCGTCCATCCATCAACACCATAGTTATCTTCCAAGGGTCCATATTACTGCCATTTCCCGTAATACAAGTTGAATTACGCCACAGTTCCCGGGGGGGATGGTACATTCGTTTCCGACCATGTAATCTAACTGCCGTGGTACTTAACAATTTTCTGAAGTACCAAAACAGCGCACTGCCCAGTATGCTTAGCGGTTCGTGCGTAGCTTGCTCACACATAAGGCTCCATGACATAGAAGTGTAGCGTTCGGATAAACTGAAATTAGAATGGCTGCTTATTCTGAAAGGGGATATGATGTAGAGAAGAATGGAGATTATCGTTCTTGTAAAATGACAACAAAGGCTGCTGGGCACTGCATAGAGACAAGCTGAGGTTTTTTTTAAATCGAAAATTTGAGTGAAGTTGATGTTTAACCGAACATTGTCGGAGTCACCGATGCTTACTAACGTTCACGAGTAATCCACCATTAAGTCTAGGTTTGTCTTCCAGTTCTATTTTCGATAAATGCGCTTCCTCTTATATTCTTTAAGGTGTGTGCGTTTGCTTGTAAAGCACTTGAATCAATTCATCTAACTGTCTAGAGCACAGTTATTACTCTGATCTGGTCACACCCTCCCTTTCTGTAGGTGCTCTGGTTGCAAAAAGATCTTGATGCAGATTTTGCACGTCTCTCAAGCCCTTTTAGATGATCTCGCGGTACTGATTTTTCCAATACAGCCTTTATCGTTTACTGCTCAGCCACTTGGTAGCCCTTTAGACTGTCGACCACAAGATTTTGGCTTTGAGCGGAATAGGACCAAGGATTTAACTAAAACCCGCTTTCGGCCCAGCTGTGATTTTGGATCCTTACTAAATCAGTCAAAGTTCCGGGACAATACAAAAGTAGGAACAAGTATTATGCTTTGAAAAGTGTCGATTTGAACAAATTATCCAAAATGAGCACTGCAAGAGCTGGTCGGCCTCACGGCTACTGGTTAATACTTACGTGTACGACATTGTAGCAGCGAAGCAGGGTCTCCGTGCCAAGGGTTTCTTCCAGACTGGATCTCATCTGTTCCAGGCGATAGAACATGCTTACAGGATGGCCTGTCTCTCCATCCTCATCCTCCGACTCGTTACCCAGACCTCTTTCTTTTCCGATTACGTCATCATCGTCAAAGTCCCTGTCCGTGCCATCGTCTTCAAGGCAACTCACGTCAGCTGGGCCGTCTGTCAGAGTACAGTCTTCAACGGAAGCTGGGGAGTCCAGTTCCTCGACGCTTGCCTCCGAGCGGGCGCTGTCTGGTCCAGCAATTGGTGACGTTGCGTGCTTGTCGTACAGGCATGTCAAAGAGAGAAGAATGCTTTGTTCCAATTCCGTCTCGAGGAGATTTGCCTCACCATGGTGTCCTTCTTTTATCTCTCTCTTCTCCTCGTCAGCTGTCGTCACAGGTGAACTCCAGGAGCTAAGTCCTCGCGTGGTGGAAACTTGCGTTCCATTGGTGCTTGTGATTCCGGAGTCGACCGATGGTCTGGTGAGAGATGACTCTCGTTCCCATCTGATATCTCCTAAATAAACATTTTCAGGTTTCTTTGAGAGAGAACTAGAGCAAATCATTTTGAAAACCTAATGGACAACAATGAAAAATGTGGAGTCCGGAGTGTGCCATTCTAGTTTAGCTAGGCATCCTCCAGTCTCGGAAAATCCTAGATTTAGACTCGGACACACTTGGTCCTTACCAGCGGTTGATGATAATTCAGATAACGTGACACTAGTGTTCGTGAAGACGGCCAGATCTCAGAGCACATTCTTCTTCTTGATTCAGCCTCAATGCATTCCGATCTTTGTTACCAGTTGCAGTAACTCAATTTGGCAAAGAGCATCACGCCAAGAATCTTATTAGCAATTGTTCATGCATGTGTTTTTCAGATTACTATTGTATTAGTGATCACTCAACTGAACTGGATTTAGAAATTTTGTCGTTACACCTACTATGCACGCTAAGGTTCAACATTCCGGAGTATTCTTCGTGCACTTCGTCATATTTTCGCGAATACCAAACTACGCGCAAACAGTTAAAAGTAAAAAACGTAGATATACGTGGAATTCTCGGTGCTTGACCATACATTGGAATTGGATATGCAAATAGATTAATTGCATACTTAAAGGAATTGTGTCATGCGGTTTGAAATGCTAGTTGTCAGTTCTTTGAACTCTGCATACCGTTACACTTGTATTCAGGGTCTACAAAATACTGGCTGCATATGTTTTTGTAAGGAAAACCATACATTTGTATAGGTTAAGAGGAAGATGTGTTCTAGGGATCATGAAATGTTGCAATGGAAGTAGACCATGTTGTATACTTAGAAAATGGCGTTTATAAATAAACAGCTTCAATGCTCTATGAATAGACATTTAAAGTACTCAAAGAGTCACATGGATAACGGTTTTTTAATACCAAAAATAGCGTTTCGTCAAAGAAAAAAATTTGAAAAGACATAATCGCTTACCAAATGTATACAAAGGAGAATATTTTGTGCATGCTTTCTATAGTGTATATTTGAATTTTTAAGGGAGTTAGAAATCGATGGTAAAAATTCATCATACAGAAGAACAAGCAGATGCGAGCCCTGGTACATGGCATTGATTGGTCTGACCTTTCGGATTCTCTTTCGAACCCAGCGACATTTTGGACTGTTTCTGATAAAGGGTTTTATCGAAAATCCGAAACGCGGGCCAATAGGCGCCATGTTCCAGCGATCTATTCTTCTTCTGCTAAACTGTTTTCTAGAACTTGCTTATTCCAATCTCTCCGCAATTCATTATTCATTTAAATACCAAATCATAGCATGCCTGAATTGCCGTTAGATTTCTTTTACGATAGTTAATATTACAGCCTTACTTAAGAAGCTTCTTAGAAGCAAGATTCCACTTTAGAATTTCGGTCAGCATTTCACGAGATAGCACATGTAATGTGCTTATTGATCCAGGTAATGGACAAAATAGGACCTTGTGCCTTGGGGCCTAATCTTGAGTTTCACCAGCAGCTGCTCAGCTACGGGTATTACAACAGGCAGAACAGCATTACCGACAAAGACAAGGAAAACTGGGCTGGCTGATTCTGGCTTATTAGCGGCCACTGCCCAAGCGGTGCAATCCCCGAGTGATTTAATCTGCGCTTTACAACTTTGTGAGCATTCTGGACTTATAAATATGCAAATCTTATTTTCATGTAATTCTCCCTCTCGCTTTCTTTTGAAGAAAAGCTTACTCCATTTCGTCGCAGACTTAGTCTACTTACAAAATATCAAACAAGGGTTGTTTATGACAGAGAACAGTGCAATAAAACCACCTTTCCGCTACCAAAACCATGGGAGTATGTTAACACATACTTGCCTACAACATGTACATGTCTGCCTAAATTATAGCAATTGTTATTTTGTCCTCCTCTTGTACAATTTAGGAAATCAATAAAGGCCAAATGGCCTGAACTAATTTCTTTTTTTCCGGAGGGGAGAAGGGTCGTGGGCAATAAGTAGATCATAAAATCAGAGCCACCATTTAAGTCGAAAAGTGAACGGTCAGCGATCGGTCCTTCCCTAAAGTTTGAAATAGTGGGTGGGGGCATAACCTAGCCAAAAGGCATGACTAACCGTCCTTATCTGCAAGCATGCTAGGCTGATTTCTCCAGGCCTCTTTTCTCTGACGCATTTCCAACGGCGCTGCCCTCTCCATTGCCTCTGCTTTCAGGATCTTTTGATCCTGAATCGCGGGCGTTCCAACCTTCACTTCGGTTAGAATCACTTCTTCGAAAGACTGTGAGATGGCGAAGGAAGTTTCTTGACATAATTCTGCGAGATCGTAAGAACGGGCGGTGTGGAACTCGGGGCTAATGTCGTCCAAATTGAGCCCGCTTTCGAACTGGGGAGAGATAAGTTCTGGCTTTGAGGTATCCGCTTTCTCGCTCTCCTGTTCCCTTTCCTCCTCTTCCGCCTCGAGATCAGAGGCCTGTGGTGAAAGACTTGGTTCAAACCATGGCAAGCCTGGAACCGCGTATTTTTGAGAGTCGAAGCTCTCCTGAGGCTGTTCTGTGCGTTGCCTGTTAAACACCTGAGCTGATGAACGTGGTGTTAAACAGCTTGCTCGTCTTGGTGAACTACGTCGGCTGGGTAGGGGGGAATTCGTGGTAGATGCGGGGCTGAAAGTAGAGAATAATATCATAGCTATTAGGTCACAGAGAGGAATTGACCATAAATTTTGTTTATTAACAAATCTGAATTCGTGCTTTAATTTGTATACATGAACTTTTTGCCAAATGAAGTAAATTGGATTCCGTGAAAATTAATCTAAATAAACAGTGTCTATCAGTCTGCTGGGAGGTTAAAGTAATTAGAGTTCGCACTCAACAGTAATTGCGTTTATAAGAAAAGGACTGCATCGATTGAACCGGAATTGTTTTCATTTAGCGCTGAATAATCTTCCTTTTTCCTGGCATCAGAAACAACTACAGACAAGGCTATTACGGATGAAATTGCTAAGCAGCCTCACACCTGCTAAAAACCATAGCATGTTTTCGTACTCGGTGCGATATGGTTTACCCGTCCACATTCCAGTCGTTAAGTACCAAAAGTTTCTTGCCGAAATTAGTGAATGATGTCTGACCTCTCCAACATGCTTTCTTGAATTCATCCTTTCCCTTTTTTCCTCGGGCATTTGCGTTATTAGCCAATCACAATAGAATGGATCTTAAGTCCATAGTGTGAGGCAGCAACCGGTGGTTGTATCGGTGTTCTATCAGTAAAGGAGGCGAGGTTCATTGTAAATTATCCCCTTATGAGACTGAAAACGTTCTTGTAAGGCAATCCAAAGGATAGAAACCAAAAAGCAAAACCGGTGACCAAATCCAGTGTGTAAAGACTCTGCGTTGCTACTGGATGAGACTATTTAAAATCCAATTATTATTAACTGTGAGGAATGAGTCAGCGTCATCGCGTAATTTCCACCTCAAAAGATGTTCTGTTTGCTCCAATCTCATCTACATATATCTCAGTTTGTGCTAGTTTTTGGTTAGACGGAGACGGTCTGTCCGAACGCCTAGTTTCACGTGTATATTACCCTCAGTAGAAGCAACGCAACAATGTAAGCTGACCATTATTAGCTCATCTACTCCCTTATATATAAAAATAATGGCAAAGGCCCCACACTCTTCACGTCTCCTTCAGCCGAATATAATGCCATCGATTTCAAATATTGGAAACACTTGCGCCTGTTTGACCGTTGCGAATTGCCCCACAAAGCGGTCCCGGTAGTGACTTACACCGATCTACCTAACTTTCTTCACCTACATCAAAAGATAGAGTCGAAGCTTCCTGATGTCAGTATGAGTGCCTCGAACTGTTAAACCTACTAGTCAGTATACGTGTGAATCACATGAACTACCTCCTAACTCCGCATACACTAAGTTTCTTTCGTGGAAGAGGACGATTAATAAACTTATATAAGTTATAGTGCAGCTTCCAATTTCCTCAGAAATAAATATGCAAATTGGGGGCGAATTCTTCAGGAAAAACTGTTCAGACTCTGTGCTGCAACCCATCACTGTCAGCCAAATAATCGCGCAATGTTCACAAGCTGCCAACATGCATTCAGTAGTATGCGCATGTTGTACTCGCAACACAGGTACTACGCAAACATCCATGCAAATATATCATTGTGCTTATGCCACTACATGACACAGCTACGAGGAGTTCGGCTCATCGGGTGGTCCCCTGCGTCCAACATATGTTTATCGCTTTTAAATTTCCTTCTTTTCAGTTAGACTTATATTAACACGCTATATTGGAGTAGATACATTGGAATAAAGCATTTAAAGCCAATTTCAAACATTGATACGAACACTGGGGGAGTCACTGATAACTCGAGTCCCTCGCAGCTACGTCATGTGACGACGAAACGCGTGATGTTGCTTCGAATGCGTACCCGTGCTGGGAGTGTGATTAATCCACTACGCAGTGACATAATCGTCGCATTATGATTCACACAATTTATACCTGAACTTCAGTCTTATAAAAAGGAGCTCATCCTAAACACACCTCTTTGCGTACTGTGATTGATTGCAGCTTGTACGCTTCATTTAAGTAAGGAGTGTGCTTATTTGCCATGAAGATGGAATTCATGATAGTGACCTCAATCCGTGTTTTTCCTCTCTCTGACTTGTCGATATTAGGTCGGCTAGAAATGAGAGTGGGTGCACCAGCTGACGTGAAAGGAACATGATATTCATCGCGTGCAACAAACCACGAGTTGCTCTCTCACAAACACACTCTGAAAAGGTTATAAAAACAAGAGCTCCATCTGTGTTTTCTCGTCACTCGTCCTTTGTCCTGATTTTTCAGTTAGCTGTTCACGTATACGAATGAAAACCAGCATGTTTCGTCCCCCGAGAAAATTGGTTCTGAATAATGTGTCAAGGATCGTGGACCGACCAATACCTACCATCATGAAGGTAAATAGCGATACAATCATGCGGCGGATGTGCTAGCTCATGCAATTCTAACCGAAATACGGCAATTTGTTTTCTTTTCGAAAAGGTTAGATAAACTGGGTTGCAAGATTAATTATCGAGCACCATAACCCAAATAACACATTTCAGTCAAATCAAAATGTTGGCCGCTAAACGAGCCGCCTTCTGACCGTCTGCAAATTCAGATATATTTTATAGGAAACCCGCACGAAAATACCCTCTCTGTTACTCGTTTGCTAAACAAATACTTGAAGGAGGCGTATTTGTCGATTGACAATGAAACTGTTTAATTCAGAAATTATTTTGAACACGACGTATCGGTTGCCAACCTTCATGCTGTATACAGTCCCTCGTAGATAACAACTATTTCTACAATTTTAGGAAAAAGTCCGACAGTGGTAATAACATTCTGCAAGAGATGCTGTATAAATGGAACTTTCACAGCCTTAAAAATTTCAAAATTAGGAACTTTTTTCAAACACGAAAGATAAAATATAAAATATGAAGATGTAAGTTGTTACTAAATGAGTATATGGAGGAATACTTTCATGTTTTTTATTCTAGCAAATATACTTGCATTTACATTAGCATCGAAAATCTACGAGATAAATGCATACTGCTTAATTAGCCATCGGTCACAGAGTTTAATTTCTCAGGCAGCTGGGAAGAAGCTAGTTGAAAAGACGGCATCTGGGCGCAAC